CCCGCACTCCGTGCGCGCATGTCACACACACCCCGTCTTCACCCCGCACTCCGTGCGCGCATGTCACACACACCCCGTCTTCACCCCGCACTCCGTGTGCGCATGTCACACACACCCCGTCTTCACCCCGCACTCCGTGTGTGCATGTCACACACACCCCGTCTTCACCCCGCACTCCGTGTGCACATGCTTATGAGAGACACCCACAGCTTCCCAGTGCGGCCCCCTGAGCACAATGGTAATGACTGGGATAAGAGACACGTTTGCTCAGGAACCACGGAGTTTCACAGTGACAGCCAGCTAGGCAGTGGTGACGCCAACACTGTGACTCACACGCAGAAAATGACAGGTGCCGGCCCTCACCAAGCGCTTCCCCAGCATCCTCTCTCTCTCCTCTCACCACGGCTCAGCACAGGGGCTACCACCATCCTCACTCTTGGGGATGGAAACAAGGCTCTACCAGAGCCCCTGCTTATCCACATCCACACAGTCAGCAAATGCCTCCGCTGTAAGCCCCAGGGTCCCTGCCCACTGCAGATGTCTGGGATGAGACGTCCTGCACCACACCCACCACCTGCTGGTCCACAGCACTGCCCATCACGGTCTGGCAGACCAGGCCTGGCAGAACAGGGCCCCAGGAAGGACGCTCAAGTCTGATTCTCAGGACTCCGACACCACCCTCTCCTCCCCTCTTCACGCCCTGAGCTTGAGGTCTACGCAGGCCAAGTCCCAAGCCTGCTGCCCATGGGGTGTGGGCCGGCAAGCTCATTCTGGAATGGGGGAACAGCCACAAGAGGGCCCAACCCCTCACTCGGGTACAGGTACATGGGCCCCCAAAGCCCAGGGGCTGGCGAGGGAGGGAAAGTTCCTCTCCTCCCACAGTGCCACCGTTTGCCTGCGTTACAGGAGCCTTCCTGGCGGCGCTAACGTTTATTTATACCTGGGGGTGTCTGGGACCAGCCTGAGCATCCCCTCAAATGTGCAGAGGGTGTGGGACCTAAACACTGCACAGCTCAAACTTGAACAAAATACAGACAATCCCTGCCATGAGATCACACTGACGGGCCGGAAGCCTCCCCGTGCCCAGAAAACAGCTCCTAAATTAGAGCCCAAGCTGATGGGCTCCCCAAACCCAGATCTTTCTGAGCATAGGGAAACTCCCAGAGGCAGGCCAGCTGACTCCAGGACCAGCTAGCCAGATGCCGTCTCCTCCTCCTGCAAGCCCGCCAGACTCACTGCAGGGAGAGGGAGGCCCCGCTCAGGCCCTGCAGGGCTGTGCTCCCTCCTCAGTGCAGCCACCATCACAGGGTCGCTTGACAGGGTCTCTGCTGCACCCAGGTCCCCAGGGAGAGCTGGTGCAGCAGCCTTCGGAAAAGATCTGTTCACGGAAAGAGGTGTGTGTGCACATGCTCAAGGGACCATGCCAATGGGGACTCTGGCCCTGCCACCCCTGGGCAGAGTCTTCTCCTGGCCATGGTCCCTTAGCCACAGTTGTCAATCATCTGTCCTGACCCATAGCAACATGAACTGACAAGGATGTGGCCTCAGAAAGTGCTGGCCAAGCCCCACTGCCCTGGGCCTCTGTGCCAGGAGCAGCCTCACACCTCCCGACTGCAGGGCTTAAAGGCCCAACATTGGTCTGAAAAGCCTTCTGCTGCTCAGTTCACTTCACAGACACCACCCCACAGGATAACTGCCGTGACGCTGGCCACAGTCATGCAGGGACACAGGAGCAGGCAGCCTTGACTTTCCATTTGGAACAGACTCGAGTTCTCACCAGTGTTTGGATTAGGGACTTGGAGGCCCTCCATCCCCAGGGTCTCGCCGACTCCCTGCCCCAGGCTGGCATGGGCGGGGGCCTCACTGCAGCCGGGGAAAAGGGAATCTGTTGGACAACCTGAGTCTGGGACTCTCTGGTCTCTTAATGAATTCACCACCCGCCACTTCCACAAAAGGATGCTTGGTGGCCACCGCCAGAGGAGTGTGACTGGAGCCGTTGTCCCTCCTCCTGGCCTGGCCAGGTGAGGGACTCATGAGAGGCTGTGGAATGTGCCGGAGTGTGAGGGTCTCCTGGGCTGGCTCCTGTCTGCCCTTCCCCATCCCCTGTGCTCACGGCTCTGCCTGCTAAGGCCCCTTGCAGGGAGAGGGGAGTGGGGCTGGTCCTCACAGGGTGGTACAGCCAAGGGCAGCGGGCCAGCCAGCAGCGTGCGGGATGCCACGCCCATCCACAGGGCTAGGTGTGGTGCGGGGCGGGCAAGGCTGGGGCAGGAGGAGCAGGAGGCCAGCCAGTGTCTACTGGGGAGCAGGAAACTACAAAGCAGCCAGAATCAGGAGTTGGGGAAGAAGGGACTCAGCCAAGAGGACGGGGTGGGAAAGCAATAAATAAATCAAACCAAGATTCCAAGAGAATAAAAAGAAAGAAGACGGGAGGAACGGGAGGAACAGGAGGACAGGTGAGCACGTGTGTGAGGAGTCCAGGAAGCCGGAAGTTAACTTCTCAGGGGTGTGGGGGGTGGTCAGGGGAGGAGCAGGGAGGAAAGAAGAGGCTGAAATGAAACCAAGGGACACAGATGATACCTAGGTATGTCCGAATCAAGAAACTGCCTGCAAAACACAAACAATCACACGGTTAGTGAGGGCCGGGCAGCGCAGCGGGAGCGGGGCAGGGGACAGGCAGAGGGAAGTGGCCTGTGGCCACAGGCCCACTCTGAACCGGGGAGGCTGCAAAGCACAGGGCCTGGGAGCAGGTGGGAGGCAAGGCCATGGCAAAGCGCATGGGCGGCCGAGGCCCCAGGCCAGAGCCAGAAGCCGGGGCTCCTGAGCCTCCGCATGTCGCAGAGAGAGGCCTTGGAGCAGCCCGGCCCCGCACGGGGCTGAGGACGCCAGCACCGTCCATGGCACAGGAAGGCCCACTGGCCTGGTCAGCCAAGCCACAGGATGGTGCCTGCCTGGGGGTGCCAGCAGAAGACAGTCCCCGAGACTGCTCTAGGGCAGGGCTGGGGGAGGGAGCTGCCAGCACGGGCAGGAGCCAAGCGAGGGCCAAAGCCGCTTCGGGGAGGCCACGCCCACGCAACGCGCCTTCCTCCTTTCTCAGACCAAGGGCCACGACCCCAGCACAGGACTGCACCAACCCCAGAGGCACCGTGGGACCGGTCCCATGTCTCACAGCCCTCCGGGTGTGTGGCCAAAGCCCCTTCAGTGACAGGTTCTCGGGCCTCCAGGAATAGGGGCCTGAGGTCCAGCCATGAGCTGCTTCCTCCTATGTCACCCATGGCAGCTGATCTGAGGAAGATCTCAGAAACTCAGCCCTCTGTGCAGGGAGATAGCAGGTGGGGTTGGGGGGCTGGAGGCCCTGCCCACCCCACCCCAGGAGCTGCCTGGGCTGAGGGAGGGTCAGAGGTCAGGAAAATCAGGTAATGAGGTCATCTCCCGGGATCCAAAGCACATCTCACATAGCAGACCTGCCCTTCTGGGCCCCACCCCCGACTCCAGTTCCTGGTCCCCCACAGCCCAGGGACAACAGCCCACACCCTGCAGGCAGTGCCCGTGCTGGGGCCTCCAGGCCTTCTCCACGCCTCACCAGGGAGCGTTCTCATGGTGGCAGGAGAAGCAAGGCACGAGGAAGCCCCCAAGCCCCGACCCATCCCACCTGGTCTGCCTCACCTGCCCCTGTCCCAGACGTGTTCCCCCCATCATGGCGCCACCTCCACATAGAACACCCCCGAATTCTCCACCCTCCTGTGGACATGAGTGCAGGGCAAGTTCCCTCTGGAAGGCCACAGGCAGGGCTGGGACCAGAGCTGCATCCACCCTCCTGTGGACATGACTGCAGGGCAAGTTCCCTCTGGAAGGCCACAGGCAGAGCTGGGATCAGAGCTGCATCCGCCCTGCCCAGGTCTCTGTCCAACCCTCACCCCCTACTATTCAGCGCTGTGCCCACCCTGACTATCCAGCTGTCCCCTGCCCTGGCTGCCCCTGCAGTGCCCTCCTTACTGCAGTGCTAAGCCCTGACAGCTCACTTTCTGGGTGTTTCTGATGAAACCAAGCTCTGTCTGGACCCAAGTCAGAAGAATAGGAGACGACGCCCCCCAGCACCCTCCTTCCTTATGACCTTGACTCTCCTTGCAGGGAGGCCCTCAAAGATGTTTTCCTACAAACACAGCCATGGAGACACCCGCGGCTCCAGCTCTGAGGGTCCCCTCTGGGTTTGTGCATCATGAGTCAGGTCGAGCCCCCAGGGATCAGCCGGGACTGGACACTGGAGCTCCCGCCCCACTTTCCCCAAGCCCCTAGAAGGCAGCATCTGGGATGCAGTGGAGCCCGAGGGACATCCCCACCCACCAGGGCTGTGCCTGGTAGTGCTGAGCCACCTGCCCAGGCCAACCGCAGGGGCTGCCTCCTTCTCCCATCCCCTAACCCCAGCAGACCCCGATAGAGCTGCCACAGACATCCCAAAGCGCCGAACCCCCAGCCCAAATGAGGTCGGACTGGGACTGCCCAGATTGTGGGGTCTTGGCCATGCAAGGGAGTGTAGAAAGGAGCAGCCTGGTGGTGAGGGGCCTGTGCCAAGCAGTGCCTGTGGGCGCCCCACCCCAGCTGCTCGACCCCTAGCCCCAGGATGCCTGCCAGAGGCCACTGACTTGCCCACAGCAGCACGGTCCTTGGATATACAGCCACTTGTCCCCACACCACCCAACAACGAAACTCCCGAGGACAGCACTCAGCTCATCCTCCAGCCCCTGAGCTGGCCCCTCTGCTTGGTGATGAACAAACGGGCATGGGGATGATGCCTGAACCAGCGACGGGGTGCACAAACGAGGAGTCGGGGGCGCAGAGGCCACCAGCCCCTCACCGCGCAGCTCCTGCAGGTGCCAGGAGGGAGGGACAGGAGAGCGTTGAGCGGGTCACGTTGTGTGGCTGGACCCTGTGCCGGGTTGGCCGAGGGCCTCGCAGGCTGGGAACATGCCCTGGGCCCTGTCTCCAGGGAGTCTCCGACTCACCGGTCATCTTGGGCTGGGTGAATGTATCCGGAAGAGAGGATATTGAGAGACAAGATGTTGGGGTCGATCAGGGACTCGTCAGTCTCTGGAGTGTTTCGGATGCGGCCTGCAGAAAAGGCAACGGGGCACGGGTCACTTCCCAGGGGGCAGGTGGGACCCTGGGCCCTGCTGGCTGCCTCAGGTGAGGGTGCTGTCAGCAAGCCAGCTCCCCACGTGGTCACTAAAGCACCGGTCAGAGGCGGTGCCAGGGGGAACAGGGAGGCCCTGCAGGGTCCTCGGCGACCCAGGGGCCATGTGCAGTTACTGCTCCACGGTCTTTCTTGTCTGTCTCTCGGCCACAGTGAACACCCCCGTACACACACTGACAAATGCAGGTGCTTAGCCTGGAAACCACAGGCCTTCCCGACTGCTGGAAAAGGAAGGCTAAGCAAGACACAGAGGAGGAATGTTCCTGCTTCTTCTTACACCTAAAAATAATGATAATAACAAGGAAAGGGAGGGAGGGAGAGAAGGAGGGAGGCAGGGAAAGGAGAGCAGAGGAGGGGAGGGATGGGAGGGGAGAGGAGAGGACACTATCTGTGCCATATAACCTCTTCTTACAAGGGGCATTTCCAGGAGAGCCCGCTAAGATGTATGCACTGGGGGTGTCTGTCTGTCTCTGTGAAAGACACCAGAGCTGTTATCAGGCAGGAAAACTGCCTAGTGGCTTCACCTAGTAATTTCTTGGCCAGACAGTGACAGTTCTGCTCATTCAAAGGAGTAAACAAACATGTGCATTTTCTTTGTTGCATCAGGAAGGAACGACAGGCTTCCCTCTCCTCCACCACGCATGGACAAGGCAAAACCCAGGACATGCTAGGATTTTGTGTTGACAGGTGCACACTGGGCCTGCCTCAGCCCATTGCTGGAACTCCGACCCATGACCTTGCAGCAAGGAACGACAGGCTTCCCTCTCCTCCACCACGCATGGACAAGGCAAAACCCAGGACATGCTAGGATTTTGTGTTGACAGGTGCACACTGGGCCTGCCTCAGCCCATTGCTGGAACTCCGACCCATGACCTTGCAGCACCTTCGTCCTGGGAGGAGGCAGGTGGATCCCAGCAAAGTGCCCTTCCCTACGCCAGGGCCCTCTGGGTCCATGCGGGGCAGCACCCGTGGCAGAGAAGCAGCTCAGCTGCAGGGATTGCTGCCTGGGCAGAGCCACTCCCAGCCCTCGGGGCCTGCACTTGAGCAGTGTTCAGCCTGCTCTGAGTCTGACCAAGTACCTGGCCCACAAAACTGACACCCATGAGCCCGCTGGTCTGGGCAGAGTGCCAGGGGTTGGGCTGGGGTCCTGAGCCTCTGTTGTCCGCGCCTCGACTCCCTCCCCTGCCTCCAAGGGTGCACCCACTCACTGCTCATGGACACCTGGGGTCTCTCCTTGACTTTCATCCCTTTCACTGACCCTGTGCCCACAGTCTTGTCCAACTCACAGGGCTGGAAAGTCCCATGGCCCTCTTGGGAGGGATGCTGAGCTCGGAGAAGGCTGTGAACAGTGAGATCAGGTCCCAGGTGAGGAGCAGGAGAGAGGCTAGGTACTCCCCAGAAAGTGACTTGGCTGCTCTTTGCCCTGAGTCCAATCACAGGGCTGCTCAGTCATGAAGCCCAGAGAGGCTGAGCCCAAACCCCTTAGCCTGAAGGGGGGCACTGGGGTCCATACCATATCTCCCCATATCCCCTTAAATAGCATCCCTGATTCCCCCCACCCCACATAAACAGACACTCCTGTTGGCATTTTTAGAAAGGAGGTGGGGAAAAGAATGTGGGATCTGAGCAGGCAGGGTCTGAGGGGCAACGGGCCGAGGCCCGGGGGATGCGTCCTTTCAACCATGCAGATCCAGCTTCCCCGCTTCCTTCTCTCCTGTCTGCCTTGAGGGAAGTGAGACCAGGACTCAGAATATGGGGCAGTGGTGCCCCAGGGATCGTTCCTCAACTACCATGTGGCCGGGTCCATAAGCTGTGTATTTGCTAACATTCTGCCTGTAAATCAATTCACTCTTTTAGGCTTGCCCTAAACAACCTCTGAAAGGAGGGTTCGGGTGCTTGTTTCATGACTTTCTGATTCATGTGAAATTAGACACAAAACTTATAAAACATAAGCATGTATCCTGGTGTGCCTGGAACTTCCTGTTTACAGTCCTGCACTGGGACACAGGGTGACGAGTCCAGCCCCAGGGAAGTCACCTTGAGCGGTCACCCAGCCCGGCCATGGCAATGTCGGGCAAGGCAGGGCTGGGCTGGCCTCATGCTAGTGACACACTGAATGGATGACTGTCTGCCTCCTTGAATGAAAATTGAGAAGACAAATTCTTTCCACCTTAGCAAAGGAAACATTTGGTGGACCCGAGTTCAAAACATGAGGTCATGGAAGAAAAGAGTGTAAGATCCTTGGTGATGGTTATGGGCGGAATTGTGACCCCGAAAAATATACGTGGAAGTCCTGCCCTCCAGGACGTCCAAATGGGACCTTATTTGGAAGTAGGGCTTTGCAGAGGTGATCAAGCTGAGTAAAGATACAGTCAACCCTGGAGCAGGATGGGCCTCTAATCCAACCCGCCAGATGTCCTTAGGAGAAAGGGCTACAGCAAGACACAGGACAGCAGAAGCCTGTGAAAATGCAGTGATGCGTCTGCAGGCCAGGGTCGCCCAAGATGCTGGCCACCACCAGGAGCTGGAAGAGGCAGGGAAGGATTTTCCCCAGCAGGTTTCAGAGAGAGTGTCTCTTGCCGGAACCTTGATTTTGGACTTCTGGCCTCCAGAAGTGTGAGATGGTAAGTGTCTGCTGTCTGAAGCTACCTGGTTTGTGGCATGTTGTCACGGCAGCCCCAGAAGTCCAATACACTGATTAAATAGAAATTTGCAGATCGCCACCCAGGTCCAAGGCTCTCCTTTTCAGGCGAGGAAGTGACCCACAGAGAGGTTATGTGACTTGGCCAGGGTCACGCAGCAACAGACGCAGAGGTGTGATTAGAACCCGGGCATCCAGCTCAGGGTCTGTACTCTTCCCACCAGCTCGGCCCCACCCCACAAGGCAGCCCCGACACTGTGCTCACCCACGACCAGCTCGCGCACTTCCTTCCAGCGGATATGGCTGCCTGTCTCGTGCAGCAGTGTCACTGTTATCCGTCGCTGGATGCCCTGCCAGTGCCAGGTGAGAGGATATGATCAGACGGCTCAGGGGGCCACTTGGGGTCGGGGAGGGGGACACAGGCAGGGTAGGGGCAGGGAGAGGCTCACACCTGGTGGAGGTGGGGGAGGGGACACAGGCAGGGTAGGGGCAGGGAGGGGTTCACACCTGGTGGAGGTGGGGGAGGGGACACAGGCAGGGTAGGGGCAGGGAGAGGGTCACACCTGGTGGAGGCTGGGGAGGGGACACAGGCAGGGTAGGGCTGGGAGGGGCTCACACCTGGTGGAGGAGGAAGGTCCCCATGCATGGCATGCCCCCACGGTGGTCCACCACGGCTGGGATGTAACTGGAAGAGAGAGACACATGTGAGGAGCGGCCGGCCCCTCCTCCCTGCCCTCCCTGCAGCACAGGACACGGTGAGTGGAAGCAAAAACAGGGAAAAATCAGCAGCTCCCTCTGGTGAAGATCAGGCGGCCTGATCCATGGAGACCAGGGTCAGCTGAGCACAGAAACCCACCAGGCCTCCTTGGCTATTGCCTCCCAGCCCTGCCCACTGGACTGGCAGGGTGTCCAACAGGGAGACACAGTATGGCACGGCCTGGTCCCTCTGGGCTGGATCTTTGTAAGTTCCCAAGCGTCCTCTGCTTTCCCTGGTGCCCTGCAGATCTGCAACCCAAGACCAGAGGATCCAGAGGAAATCCTAGCAGATGGGCTCATCTGCTCCAACCTCTAAGGCTCCTGTCCCACTCTGGGCAAGGACCTGAGTCTCCACCAGGCCCCACCCTGAGCTGCCAGCTACAGCCCAGCTCCCAGCTGCCCCCAGGGCACCAGGCAGATCCCCACTGGCCTCAGCACTGGGGCCCTGGAACCTGCCTCCCCAGGGCCTCAGGGCTCCCCTCCCACCTCCTTCAGGTCTTTGCTCAAAAGTCCCTTGATCACTTTGTAAGTGTCTTCTGCTGCCCCATCCCCGACCCATGTCCTGGTTTGCTGTCCTAGTGCTCAGGACCATGGGGCCACCAATTCAGGTGCTTATCTGTCCAGCACCTCCCTGCCCCCCATGCCAGTTCCTCCAGGACAGCAGGGAGCTTTGTCTGCTTTTAGTCCCCAGGACCAAGATGAGGCTGGGCCCACAAGAGGTCTGCAGCGAACACCTGCTGGAAGGATGACTGGATGCTGGCAACCCTCAGGCAGCTCAGGTCCTCCTCCCTCTCCGCCCCATCCCCCCCACACTCACACCCTGGGGGTCCCAGCACCAGCACTCACTCGCCATTGGCCTCCAGCTCACAGATCTCGAAGTAGACCAGCAGGTCGTACTTGCAGTGGCAGGGCCCCGGACAGGGCCGCGTCAGTGTGCTGAGCTTGGTGGCGGGTACTGTAGGGACAGGAAGGAGGCATGCATGGATGGGAGACCTGACCCATCACGTGCCAAGGGCACACTCAAGGAGGAGGTGCCAGGGCCAAGGGGGCTCAGAGGCAGAGAGGGCACCTCCCCCTCCTCAAGGGAAACAACCAGCCAACCCCAGCCATTCCCAAGATACACAGGGTCCTGGGCACTCTGTGGCCTCAGCACGTCACACAGACGCTCACGTTCTCTGTGCCCCGGCTAGGAAAGCTACGTGGCCATGCACACTGGGCACAGCTCATGAGGAGAACAGTGGTCAAGACCCCAAGAACCAACAGGGCAGCCACAGATACACTTGTTCAAAAGCCCCACAACCCTCACGGGGCCCCTCTGCCATGCTGCCAGGCCCATCGCCTACACCACACCTTGGCTACAGCCTACTGCACCAGTCCAAGCACATCTCACCAGCACCCAGGCCTGGCCCAAGAGGCCCTGTCCCTCAGCTCCCACTAGCCCTCCACTTGTGTCCAGCTCCAGACAAAGAGCCTCTGTCCTCACATCCTTCACCCACCTCTGTCCACCACTCCCTTCTCTGAGACACATCACACAGGTCCTCCTCTAGCAAGTCCCATCTGAGCCTCCTCCGCCTCCCCTACAAATATGGATCTACAGGTCTTTCTTGCAGGCTGTGGGGAAGACTGAATCTCAGGGAACCCATACTGCGGGACACAAAACCTGTACAGACCAGAGACTGGCTCCGCAGCAGCTGGAGGGTGTCCTCCCACAGTGTCCTCAGCCTGCAAACCTTCATCTTACAGGGGTTCAAAGGACAGGGTCCTTGCAAGGCAGGCACAAGAGGCTGACACCTAGTCACCACGTGTGCAGACCCAGTGCCTCCACCCACCAGCTGCAGAGGCAGCTTCTCACACAGGCCCCTACCCTCTGGGGCGCTGGTGCCTGGGACCACACTCCCTCCTTCAGGAGGGTTTCTGGGCTGTGAGGGACTCAGCCACACCTACCGGGCCTCAGTCTGGCTGCCTTTAGCTCTCCCCCAACCGTGTCCTCGGGTTTTGGTCTTGCAGGGAATAAACTCCACTCTTTTAACTAAAAGCCAATGAATCTCAAGTGCTATTCCACGACCCACCTGTTCCCCCAGGCAGAGGCTCCAGACGCCGGGCAAAAGCTCTGACAAATATTCCTCCCTGACTGACCCCACACTCTCACTCGCACCTCCAGCCTTGGACCCCCATGAAGAAGCTTCCTAGACTGCCCTTCACCCCCAAATCTCTACCTCTCTGTGTTCAGCTGAGATGCCTGAAGTCCCGTCAAAGCCCTCAGCCCCCTTGCTGTCTTCCTTCCTCGGCTCCCCACACCTCTGCCACCAGCTCCAGGCTACTCTCTGGGCACAGGGCAGACCCTTGCTCCATGGGGACCCCATGAGGCCTGACAGGCTCAGGGTGGCCCCAGAGTGCCTGGGAGGGCACAGCCCCGTCACAGAGGACAGCATCCACTGCGGGGGCCCAGCCCACTACAGCACCCACAGTGAGGGGAGCCCATTGCCCTGAGATGGCTCCAGAGACCCTTCCTACCTGGCTTGGACAGTGGCATGACCCGAGGGAAGTGGCGGCGCGAGGGCCTCAGGGGGCTGTGGAGAAAGAAACACCAGTGTGATGTGTTTGTGGGACCCTGGGTGGGAGGGGTCAGAAGGAGACAGAGGGCTACTGGCCCCAGGTGCCCATCCCTGCCCCCTCCCGCCCTCTCTTCTCCAAGACTGTCCACCAGCTTGGGTGGGAGGAAGAGGAGGGACCCTTGGGACCCCAGATTCCACCCTAGAGGCCACAGGAAACCAGGGCAAGGTTCAAGCTCTGGCTTCCAGTCCAGAGTCCCTCAGGCACTCCCAAGGACAGACAAGCAGCCCCAAAACAAAGCCTTCATTGCCCTTCTCTTTTCCTGACACCCTGGAGGGCCCCTGAGCTCCCAGTCCTGCCTGACAGCTGAGAGGAGTTGGAGGTGGGAAGACAAGGGCCCACCCAAGGCCTCTGCTGTTCTCTCTGCACTCGAGGTGCCCAGGAGGCGCTGGCTTGGCCCAGGGTAGACACTCCCATCCACCTTCAAGGGTCTGGGTGAGATGGCCTGAGTGGAAGTCCTGACTTCACGTCCCAGCCCCACGAGTCTCTCTGAGCCCCCATTTTCCAGGTCTCAGGAGGCTGCACGGACTGAGGGAGCTAGGCTGGGCTTCCTCAGGGTGTGGCACAGCTGGGCCCCTTTCCTGGGGTCCTTGGTCAGCAGCAGAAGTGGTCTCCCCGGGGCCACCCCAGCATCCTACAGCTGGCAGCCCCTGCACACTGCCCAGGCCAGCAGGAGGTCAAGCAATGCTCACAAGGAACGCTCTGCAGTCCTGAAGGAGAGAAGCTGTGGGCAGGCCCAGAGCTCTTAATCGCTCTCTGAGTCCTGCCAGCCTTGGGCAAAAGGCCTCCTGGATTGGCAGGGGAGGTGGGTTTCAGGGGGTGCATAGGCTCTGCAGCTTCAAGACAGCTGGATGAAAAGATCCGGGCAGGGGCTTTGGGGACTGCAACCCCGAACCCCCGACCCAGGGCACTGACCTGAGCACATCCTTGCAGAGGGGCGGGAACGGGTGCTGCTGGTAGTGGCCGAAAACCTCGAACACAATGGGCTGGCTCTTGATGTACTCAATGAAGGACTTGGTCACCTCCACTGCGATCTGGTGGGCAGGCAGGTGGGAGGACAGGAGGGCACGGCCAGGCCACATTCAAGGGGGAAGGAGAGTCACATCAGTGAGCTAAGTGCTTCAGGCCCAGATCTGGGACCCTTAGCTGGGCCCACCTCTGCCCAGGGGCAGCAGCCTCCTCTAGGCCCTTCAGCCCAGCCCCTCCTCCCACCACATGCCCCAGATGGACTCTGGAGTGTGTCCCTCGGCCTCTCTCCCCAGGATGAACGGGGGCCGCGTGGTCAGCTGCCCTTTCAGAACACAGAGCTCGGAAAGGTGACAGAGGGCAGTGCTGGTCTCTGCAGGGCGCCCCTTCTTGGGCCCTGCCCCACTCAGCAAGAGTTACGGGTTGGACCGTGTCCCCCTCACCAAATTCATATGTTGAAGTCCTAACCCCAGGACTTCAGAATGAGAGTGTGTCCTGAGATAGGGCCTTTACAGAGATAATGGAGCTAAAGAGAGGTCATCAGAGTGGGTCCCAATCCAGCATGGCTGCTGTCCCTATGAAAAGGTAAGGTTTGGGCCCAGACCCACGCAGAGGGGGAGGGCCACGCGGACAGACACAAGGAAGAGGCAGCTGTTCTATAAGCCAAGGATAGAGGCCTAAGAAGGAGGCGACCCTGCCCACACCCTCATCCTGAGCTTCCAGCCTCCAGAGCCGTGGGAGGCCACATTTCTGTTGTTTGAGATGCCCCCGTCTATGGTGCTTTGTGACAGAAGTCCCAGTCAACTAACTCACTGAGTCTGCAGGTTATCAGCCCTGCCAAACCTACACCCGCGGCCTGGCACTCAAAGCCTGGCTCCCTGGTAGCTTTCCTTATCACTGTTAGGCACCTCTTTCCCCTGCTGCCCCAGGAGCCCAGTTCTCCCGCCTCCAGGAGGAGCTGCTCTGCCCTAAAGGCCCCTCCTCTCCATCATCCTAGCAGCCCAGCTGCCATCACCCTCCTGCCTGGAGTTTTCCAGACCTCTCAGGACATTGCCGCACCCTGCAGCCCCTGTGACCCTGCCTCCTTACCATTCCCAACACTCAAGCCAGGGCTGCCTTCACTGAGCACCCGCAGCCCTCAGTACAAACCCCAGGCCCCGCTGCACCTGCATCCGGCTCCCCGTCGGCTCTATGCTCACCATGGGCAGCTCTCAGGGGCTCTGAGCAGCCCCCATCTCCCAGTTGTAAACCCATCAAGGGTCTCTCACTGCCCAGAAATCACTCCTACACCCTGCCGGGCACTGGAGTTCCTGGTGCTCAGGGCAGCCCTGGCCCACAACTGGTGTTCAGAAGAGGGAGAATGAGCCATGCTCAGAGAGGCCCTGGGAGGGTTGGTCAGTGGCAGGGATGGGGCGAAGCACCCAGGGACGTACGTTCTGGACATGGTAGAAGCCGAGTGGGGGGCCTCTGCCTGTGTTCTTCAGGGGCTCCGTGGAGAAGGCCTCATCGTGGCGGTGGATGAAGCTGCAAAGCAGAAGAGGTGCTTTGGTATGGGGTGGGGGACTTGGGACGAGACCTTACCAGGTGGAATCGCCTCACATGAGGGCGCTGGGGCATTCAGGGTGCTGGGGCTGGGCCGACATGGCACCAACATGGCCTGCACCCTGCTCAGCGCCCAGGCAGGGGAGCTTTGGGCACAGAGTCCCTGTGCGGCATGGGGACACAAAGGCAGCAGGGGCTCACTTGAACTGGCAGAAGATGTCAGCATATTCGGCAGAGATGCTGGACGCTTGCAGGACTGTCACACGGAAGGTGAAGGTACTGCCCAGGCGGAGGTGGTCCAGGGCAGTGTCCAGGGGCCCGTCCAGGGCGGCTTTCTCAGAGCTGTCTAGGAGGAGGCCTTCTGGGGGCACCGCTGCTGGGAGTCAAGGAGAGTCATGGACCTCCAGACCATATTGTCTTCCAGCCACAGGCCTGGGCCGGGCTCAGGAACCAGGTCTCAGCATGCCCCACGCCCTGGGCAGCTGGGTTGGGGAACCCACCTGAGCAGGTGTTGTTGTTGACTTCGTCGGCTGAGGGCCCCACGTCTGCGCCCTGGCCCTGGCCCTCCACGATGCGAAGCTCTTCCTGGGAGGTTCCCGAGCGGGACATCCCCACCACGGGGCAAGACTCAGACTGGAACTGATCAGAGGGGGACCAGAGTCAAAGAGAGCCAGAAGCCGGCTGGGGAGGGGCACCGCAGACCCTGTCACAGGCCCACCGGAGGGCTGTGCCACCCAGAGCCTGGGCTGGGGCCTCCATGAACCCATGCACCAGACCTGCCCCTGCCTTGTGGGGGTCACCCACCTCCCCAGGCCTCAGTTTCCCCTGCTGTGGATGTGTGTCTTTGGATTCTATAGCGTATGGCTATGTGAGGTCTGAGCTGTCCTGGAAACAACTCACCACCCGCCTCTCTACTCTGGTCTTCAGTTCAGCCGGACCCCCGCCTGCCAGGGCCCCTTGCCCAGCAGGTTAGCTCTCTCCCCTCCCCTTCTTGGGCACCCCCAACACTGACAGCCCCTCTAAGAGAAAAGGTGTTGGGCAGACAGACCACCTCGCTCAGGGAGTAGGTCACCCAGGTTCCGGGTGACAGCATGGCCAGGTGGGCACGGGTGAGAAGCGAGTCTAAGAATCTGGGGCCAGGAGCCACCTGAGCATGGCCTGGGGTGCACTTTGGGGACCTTCCTCCACCACTCTCTCTCTCAAGAGCGGAAGAGGAGACTGAGTGGTCCAGGTGCCATTGGACACAGCGCCGGCCCTTCACATGAGGACCGCAGGTAGGCAGCCTCGGGGGCCCCTCATTCTCACTGGGTGGCAGGCAGGGAGCAGGCGAAGGGGGCAGTGGGAACGCACTGTCCTGTGGGGACCCAGAGGAGAACCGTTCCAGAGAAGGGAGACAGGGTGGGGATGGCTGCACCTCAGTGTCTGTTCTGGAGGCTAGTGTTGTCCACCTGCTCTGCGCCCCGGCTTGGACCCTGGAGCGGTCTTGGTGGGAGATGGGCGGATACAGGGGTCAGGGCAAACCCGGGAAAAGGGGCGTGGTGTGCTTAGAGACGGGGCAGGTTCAGTGCTCTGGACCAGAGGGAAGAACCCCAAGAGGACTTAAGGCCCGTGGGATGAGACAGGGGCGTTAGAGGAGCAAGGTGCACAGGACTCCAGTGAGCGCCAGGCACCTCCAGGTCTGGGACTTGGGAGGGAGCTTGGTACCTTTTCAAAATGCTGGTCGTCAAAGGAGATTTTAGCAGTTCCCGACTGGCGGACGCCAGAGCCATAATCGGGGGCCTCTTCATCGGCTGCAGGAGAAATGGAGCGAATGGTTGGAGCCCAGCTTGTCCCCTGAGGTGGGTGTGGGCAGAGCAAGGCTGGGCCACCCCGCAGTCAAAGTGAGGGCACAGGAGCAAGAGCGGGCAGCAGGCCCCTGACCGAAGCTGCCGCCCGTGGCTCAGTGACAACCAGGGCACGTCCCAGCACACCGACCACCCGCCTGTACTGCCCAGGAGTCCCAAAGCAGCCATGGCCTCATCACAGACCACTTTGATAGGGGTCACAAAGTCTATATTTTCAAAACCAAATCTTGCCCGAATTCCCAGGTGCTCAAGCAGAATCCGGGTAGCCCCTCCCCATCCCCATGTACAGAGACCACCCTGCCAGCCCTGCTGGTTCCACCTCCAGAATCACGACGTGCCTCTGCCACCATCTGGGTGAAGCTACCACCTATCACCTGTCTAGACATTTGAGGGCCACCAACCGCCCCTCCACGCAACTCCCCAGGCCTGCCGGTGCATCCGCCCACACTCCCTAGCCTTCAAAGCTCTCAGTGGACCCGCTGGCCGAAGCCCTGGGCTCTGTCCTGCCATGGTCTGCGACAGCCAGCGCCTGCTCATGGAGGAGTCGGTGCTGAGGGAACAGCAAACCGACCTTGCCCAGGTCACAGGCAGGGCTGGTGAGACTTCTGAGACCACCAATGCAAGGGCCAGGGCCTTTTCTAAGTTCCCTTCTCCACCACCACAGCCATCAGACAGGGAAACAATTAGGCGTCACCCAACATAAAATGATCCAGTTGTAGGATGGCCGGCAGGAGGCCTGGTGACCCAGCCCAGGATAGAAGCACTTCCCAGGCACTGTCCCAGACTGGTTTCCCAGTATATGACCTGGGAGAGCAGGGGCTGTGGACCTGGGCACACAGACCTGGGCTCAGAGCTGCCATGCACCTTCCTAACTGGCTACCCTCATCTGAGAGGTGGGGGTACCTCTCAATCCCATAGGGTGCAGGACAGAGGTAGAGCTTTGCACTGAGATTGAACCCGGGGCCTGGGAAATGGGCAACCTCCACGTGGACCCCAGAGGCCCCCTCTGACCAGGGCAGACCAGGACGGCAGTTGCCCTCACAAGGATATGGGACAGCCCCACAGCCTCTGGTGCAGCCCCACTCTCAGGGGGTGGCTGTCAGGGTGGGGGCCAGTGGGAGGAAGTGGTCAGCATGGCTCTGCTCAGCCGTCCTGACCACTTGGTGGGAGCTGCTGGCACAAGGCAGGATCGGGAGGACCTGGTGAGGTGGGGGTGGCCCCTCCTGGAGGGGAGAGGGAGGTGATAGGTGTTCCCAGCTTTCCTGAGCATTGCAGCTCCAGTAAACACCGCACCTTACAGCAGCAGGGCTGGGGCCCTTCCCTGGTGCTCACCCTCCCTCCCCAGCTGGGCCCCCAGCTTCTCAGCACAGTGGTATCACAGTAACTGGATGACAAGCAAAGACATGGCCAGTGGGAGGTGCTGTAAACAACATTTAAAAATCATGGGCTAGGCTGGACACGGTGGCTGGCCGGGCGTGGTGGCTCATGCCTGAAATTCCAGCCCTTTGGGAGGCCAAGATGGGCAGATCACTTGAGGTCAGGAGTTCGAGAGCAGCCTGGCCAACAGGGTGAAATCCCGTCTCTACTAAAAACACAAAAATTAGCTGGGCGTGGTGGTATGCTCCTGTAGTCCTAGCTACTCTACTCAACAGGCTGAGGCAGGCGAATCACTTGAACTGGGAGGCAGAGGTTGCACAGTGAGCTGAGATCAAGCCACTGCACTCCAGCCTGGTGACAGAGCAAGACTTCACCAAAAAAAAAAAAAAAAGAAAAGAAAAAGAAAAGAAAGAAATTATGGGCTAAGGAGAATTTGACATCAGAGTCAAATTAACTTCATTAATAAGGTGGGATTACAATCGCCCAAGGCAACCAGGATAGCAGGGCTGGGAGGGCCAGACATCTTGCATCTTGCGGGGAATATGAGGTATCTCAGGGTGGAGAATATGAGCCATCTCATAGTTGGGGGACTTGCCATCTGGGGAGGGGTATGGCCATCTCAGCCTGCTCCAAGTCACTCCTCTGAGCAGCCCCAACCAGGTAGCCAGGAGCCCCCCTGCAGCCATGGATGCACGTCCTCTCTGCATCCATCTGCCTGCCTGCCTGTCTGTCTGTACTACTCCCTCCCCAGGGTGCCCAGGCAGCCAAGGCCTTTGAGAGGAAAAAGAGTGGTCCCTGGTGAGGGGAGACCTTGGTGCAGGAGCCCAGGGTGGGCTGGGAAGGGAGTGGGACCTTCCCTCATGGCACAAGCCGCCTGTTGCCCTGCAGCTTCCCAGGCAGCCAAGCTCTTTCACATCTGTGTTCTCGAGTACCCTTCAACATTCCTATCCGGTGTGGAGCACTACAACGGATCCCGTTTACATGTGAGCAAACCAAGGCTCACAGGCTCTCTGGGGCTGCGCTGGTGCCTCCCGCCATCAGGAGCCGGCCAGGCCTGGGCCAAGCAGTGCCAGTCTCCACCTCCCCCAAGGGAGGGGCTGCATCTTCAGGCCCAGTGTGGAGGCAGACAGGCCTGTGCCTGAGAGACCAGGGAGTGCATCAGGGAACCAGAAGCACCCCAGGGAGGGCTGCCCTGAGCAGGGCCCAGGGGCCAGGGACGGCGCCTCGCAAGCCTTTCCTGGGGCTGCGGAGACAGCTGGGTGGGTGGGATGTGTTGACAGAGAGCACCTGCTCTGCAGCAGGCTGGGGGAGGGATCCAGGTGGTCTTGGGTCCATCTGGGGCTGCCTGATGGGAAGGTGGAGACCCCCAACCAGAGCAGGCTCAGATGGCACTGGGCTCAGCCTGCACGGCCCCCAAGGCACCCCCAGCTGACCCCGGGGAGTCCAGGAGGCCAGAGCTAAGAGCTGGGCAGCAGGGGTTTCCCCTCCAGGGCGCACTGGGGGGCAGCAGCCCCAGGAGCCAGCTAAGGACAGGGTGGAAAAACAGCTTCAGGTTGACCCCAGGGAGAGTGGAGGGCCAGCTGAGGCCAGCTTCCCACTGACCACTACATGAGGCCAGAAGGCCCTTCTCAGGTCCCTGCCTCTGCCTGCAGAGGTGAGAGCCAGCCCCAGAGGCTCCAACGCCACACACGGCCTTTGACCCACACGCACCTGAGATGGCCTGGACGGCCACACGGAGGAAGCCCTTCACCTCGCCCTTCTCGCTGACGATGGCCACACGGTGCACCAGGGGAACGGGGTACAGCAGGTTGCTCAGGTACACGAAGGCCCTGGGGGGAAGTAGAGGCTGTGGTCATGGGCCACCCCTCCACACGTGTTCTGACGGCAGCGGTGGCAGCATGGCCTGGCTCACGACACAACACGGAGCTGCAAAGCAGAGGGAAGCCACCGGACAGGACAGCCAGGGCCAGGACAGCAAGAGCGGGCGGGGACAGGCAGGGTGGGCACTCGGAGGAGACAGGAGGTGAAGGGACAGAGAGGAGGACGAGGAATGAGCCGCGGCGAGCAGAGGCACAGCCCAGTTGGGCCCGGACCTGGCTGCCTGAGAAGGGAGCACCCGAGGAGGGAGGTTTCAGCCTGCTTCAAGGAGGACAGGGGCCAGACCAGGACCCAGACCACACTGTGCTGCCCACCCTTTCACACTGGCACTGATGGCCAGCATTGCTCTGCCTCCTGCCCACTTCCTAGGGGTCCCTGACACTCACGGACCCCACAGAATCCCTTGCCTGAACAGAAACTCAGCAGGTGGGAGCTCCAAGGTGAGTTGGCCAAGATGAGGCACCCCTAGTCTAGGGCCCAGGGAAGTGCTGAATGGAGCCCTGAGGACACCCCCAGGGCCATGGTGCAACCCAGAGCACCAAGACCCCTCCTTTCCCAGGACCAGCCTAGGCAGAGACCACGAGCAACTACAGTCGCCAGACACCTGCTGCGTTCCCTGTGCTGACCAATATGTGGGCAGCTGGGAAGACAGAGAGGACCCTGGAAGACCCACGCCACCCAGCCAGGGGGAAGGATACCCTGCTTCCTGCTCCAGGCAGGTGTGGCTCTGAGCACCGTGACCTCCAGCATGGGAAAGGGTCGTGCCTGGGGCCCTCAATTCCAGAGCAGATACTGATGAGGGGTTGAGTGAGACTCAGCGGGCTGTGAATGTCCAACACCTCTCTCAGGTGGGCTCCTGACCTTGCTCCCTCCACCCCCTAACCCCCCCGACTTCCCTGCAGCAGCAAGTCGAAACCAGCAGCACCGTGGCCTCTCCTACTCATCAAATCCATCAGTTCCACCTCAAAAGTCTTCAAGAAGCCCCCCTCAACTGTCCCATCACCACCAGCCACCCTGCCATGGCTCCACAGCAGCCAGAAAGGTCTCAAGGCACCAGTCGGACATCCTCCCATGCCTTTGGTGACACCCAAGTTCCTTGCAGGGGCATCCATGCCCCACGTGGCCCTGGGGGTCCAGGCCCTGCCTCCCCATCACAGTCAAGCTCGGCCTTGTGGCCCATGGGTCCATGGATGCCCCGGGTATTCCTGCTCCCAATGCAGAAGCCCCACCCTTCATCTCATCGGCTGCCTCAACCCTCCTCAGAGGCCCCAGCATCCCAGCAACTGTCAGGACCTTCCCCTTGGCCATCTCGTTCATTCTGACTTTACACATCCCCATGGAACCTCCCTTGCTTTCTGAGTGGCTCTGCTAAACTGAGACCTGACCACTGCCCCCACCGCAAAATGGCCCAGGCAAGGCTTGTAGTAGGAAAAGGGTCTCGCTGCCCTCCAGGGGCCTGAAAGTCTCCTCGGTCCTCCCTCCTGGGGTAAAGGAAGCCCCTGGTGGCTTCTTGGGCCCTCTCCCCAGAACAACACGCCCTCTGAAGATGCCCCCCAAGAAGCGAGTGCTCCACACCCACGGAGCCCATCAGGGAGGGACCTGTTACCCACAGGGCTGCAGGTGGCTCTGCCTGACTTAAGTGCTGGGGCTGGGGTTCCACTGCCCTGGGCCACCCACCCGGGTTATGTCCAGAAGCGCCCATGGAAACTCAGCCTGGCCCTAGTCACGAGAGGACGTTGAGGCCCACAGGGTGGGGTCCCCTCCCCACAGTCCTGCTGGGTGTCCTACAGGCAGGGACTCACCAGCATCCCCTTGGGAGGGGGACGGAAATGCCTTCCCTCCCCAGGGCACCCCGGACTCCTGGACGAGGGTCTCTGCTTGACAGTGGGGGTGGGAAAAGGGGCTGCTACAAACTGAGCAAAGCTAAGATGTCCAGGAGTGGGGCTGGCGAGAGTCAGGACTTGGGCCACCAGACAGCACGGGCTCTTCCCAGTGGCTGTCGCACCACACTGGGCGAGACGTAAGGAGACCAGGCGGGACAGCCTACGCTGCCAGGCTCTGAGCCAGCCCCTGCCCTCCAGTCCCTACCCACCCCACCCTTTCCCAGAGCCAGTGTCCACTGCAAAAATCCCAGGGTTGGAGGGCAGAAGGGCACTGAGTATGAAGAGACTGCCCCACCCCCACCCTACTCTGCAGGGAGCCCATAGGGCGGCCCTCAGTGAGGGGGCGGGACCCGGGACCACTCCCACTGTGGGCCAGGTGAGGACACTCAGGCACGGGGTCCCTGAATCCACTGGCACAGCCTCACAGGAAGGAGAGGCTATAGCTGTCCAGGGCCACCCAGACAGGGTCAGACACTACCTCTCCTACCCCAAAGACCCCTCGCCAGAGCTGCCTTCCCAGAAGCTTAGGGCAATTCCGCAGGGGCTGCTGGCAGTGAGCAGAGCCCTGGGCTCTGGGGCCATCCACATGTGTCACTCACAGCACCACAAAGGTGACCCACAAACCTCTGAGCTCCCCAGGACCCCACCCAGAGGGAGGAGACTTCTGCACCTGAGTGAGGGAAGGGGCCACACCCTCCCCACTCTTAGCTCTCAGGGTCTCACCTGACCCCCTCCTCACCCTCCTCCACTGCCCTGAAAGGCCAGGTCCAAAGGGGTCTGAGGCCGTGCACAGACAGGTAAACTGAGGTAGGGGCCAGGCCCGTCCCAAGTCACATGGTGAGACTGCAGCAGGCAGGCCCCTTCCTGGCTGTCTGCACAGGGCCTCCCTGCTGAACAAATGCTGTGTGGAACTGACTCTGAGGGGACGCCTTCTGCCATGTTGCCAACCGTGGGCTCAGGCACCAGCAGCACAGCACAGACGCGAGTGCCTCACAAATCAGATAGGGGCTGGGCTCGAGGAGGCCCAAGTCCCTCACAGCCCCAGGCTCAGATCATCCCATTATGAAGCATCATGGCAGAAATCACAGCAGCCAGCATCTGTAGAGGCTCCCGAGGGGCCAAGCACCGTGGTGAGCACACAGGGCCTTTTGTTCTTCTGTCTCCTGGGAGGCAGCGCACCCCCATCTCCTCGCCAGGGCACGTCCTAATAAACAGCCATCTCAACTCAACCAGCGGCACCCTTCTTTCTTGGAGATGCACAAAATCCACCCAGGGTCTCAGCACACTAGAACGATGAAATGTGGTACTTATACCCCATCGCACAGAGGAAGAGCCTGAGGCACAGAGATTAAGGAAGTGGTCAGGGCCTGGCAGTGAGGGCCTGCGTGGGACTTCTCTCCAGCTCAACTGTGTGAACACCAAGCTCCACCGCCTACTTCTAGGGCCAGGGTTGGCTTCCATGGGCGCTTCCCCACCCACTCTGAGTGGGCAATTCACCTGGGCACCTGCCTAGTTCCACAGCTGATTAATTCAGCAGATTGACTGTTTCATGCTTTTTCAGATTGTCCTCATGTGGGAGCTGGGGGGACCCAGATACTGCAGCACCACAGACTGCTGCTGCTTTCAAACAGATGGGCAAGATGCAGCCCAGATTGTGCCCCAAAGGTGGGGACTGCTGGGGGTGGGGCCCTGAGGGACATCCAGGTGGAGGTTATACAATGAAAAGGACTCCTGGGGTCTGACACCAAATGCTCCCCGATCTCTACTGCACCCTGTGAGCATCCTCATGGCACTGACCCAGGCCCCAGGCCACCAGTGAGACACGTGGATCTGGCTGTGGCTCTAGTGTCGGGTGTTCTCCCCTCCCCACTGCCCGTCCCAGTCTGCCTGGCTTGGTGATAGACTTGTTCAGCCAGAAGGGACCTCTGGGACCCGGAATCCACTGCCCCAGTGGCAGCACCAGCCTCAAGAGAGCTGTGAGCTGGGCCTGGAAGGTGCCCCCCCACTCTGTGAAGAGACCATGCCAACCGATGCACCTGAAGTGTGAGGCGATGGGGCAGAGCGCTGGTGCCTGGCATCTTGGAGCCTGGCGTCTCTGCCCAGTGGAGACACCCTCCCAGGCGACAGGCCTGGGCAGGCCATGCCCCCCACCTGCCCTTCAGGTGCCAGAAATAACCTGACATGTTGGGAGCCAGAACATAGCCCAGGCCTGTCCCTACCTGCCGCAGACACACCCAAGGCACAGAGTGGCTCTCGGGATCTCAGGCCGAGAAACGCCATCCACAGCCATGCTGCAAATACCAAGAGAGAGGGGCCCCAGCCCACCGAGAGCACCATGTGGGACCCAAGGGAGTGGCGTGGTCTTGCCAGCCCAGGGGGCAGGCACAGAGCTGACCCTGAGTGAAGCCCTCGAGCCGCAGCAACGTTTATCGACCCAGCCCTAGACACCTGCACTCCCTTCCCAGCCCTGCTCCCCTCCCAGGGACCCTCATCCCAGGCAGTCAGCTCTCGCCCTGCTCTCTCTGCAGCTCCTGTGCCCACCCACCCTCCCCATGTTTCCTACCCTTCCTGTGCCAGGGGAAATCAGAGCCCCAGGCCCACTCCTGTTGGAATATGGGCAGTGGTCACCAACCCAACTGCCTCCCCAGGTCACCTGGTGCCCCAGACTGCCAGAGGCAGAGGCCCCTGGGGGCCGACCCTGGCCTTGGGTGAGGAGCCCCAGTGTGGAACACAGGAGGCCAGTGCTGGATGGGCCTTCCGCAGAGGCCAGGGTACCTTGAAGCAGACTGAAACCCAGCCCGAAAGAGGCGGCAGCAGAGGCAGACAGAGCGAGGGCTGAGTGTGGCGGGAGGGAGGGAGGAGGCAGGCGCTAACCACAGATTGGTGAGGTGCAAAGACGCATGCTGGGACCCAGGGAAGCCTTTCCAGAGGGGACAAGAGTGGGTGCCCCAATTTCGCTGAAGCTTTGGAGAGAGAGCCAGCAGCTACCAGAAGGTTAAAGGAAAATCAACGAGGGGCCTTCCCAGGGTTGGGCCTGCACAGCTGCTGCATGGGAGAAGCCAATTCTTGCCAAACCAAAAAGATTAAGATGATTTCAAATGAAGCCCTTCACAGACCACCCCGCAATATGGGGGCCAGGTCTCTCTTTGATGACTTTTGTTTGGTTTGGTAGTTTTGTAAAATCTCAAATCCACAAAAGGGGAAAAAAATGTTGGAAGGACCCAGCTCTTTCTGGCTGAGACTGCGAGAGCCCCACCCCACTTCTGATGTCCTCATCCCCCTGTGCGTCCTGATCCCTCACCTGCCTGACACCCGGAGCCACTCCTGGGGCCCAGCAGGTGCAGGGGCCTGGCCCTACAGCCCGGGGCTTTCTGAGAGAGGCCTGCATGGAACTGGTCTTGGGGTCCACTGCTCCCTCTTGGGTGCTGTAGAGTGGGAAGTACAGGCCCACAGCATGTCAGAGGGAGGGTGCCACAAGTTTTTATCTGGTGGACCAGCTTATCTCACCTTACAGCCTGGTAACACTCAGGGAAAATTAATCAGAATAAATCCATGGCATGGGCCCATGGGGACCTGCTCTCTTCCAAGAGGGAGGGCGAGGCTTTCCTTCCACCACCTCCACCCAAGGACAGAGTAAAGCTCGTGCAAACTCTGTGATCTGGGGTCACCCTCAGCCTTCAGCTGTCAGCATGGCTGCTCCAAGCTCAAGACTTCTGAAAACTTCCACTGGCCTAGCCCAGGGAAGCAATCTTAATCTCCAAAAAAGGTTGTTACTAAGAATTATCTTACAACATTCAGATATGAAAAACATATAAATTCAGCTGTTTCCTGAGCTGACTTTCTGACTACTCCAGCCAGGTTTCTAGATCTTTCCTTCACCTGACTTCCCTTCCATGATAACAGGAAGGCAGTTGGATTTGCCAAATCTGCCAGAAGAGCAGGACGACTGCTCCCTGGGTCTGGGCTTCCCCAGCCTCCATTCTGTCTCCCAGCCGTGGTCTCTCATCGATTTGGGCAACGTGGTAACTAGCTTCTCTCTGCAAAGGGCACATTCCATGAGGGCACTGGGTCACATGTCCCCATCTCTGGCCATGACAACTGAGGAGGTCAGGAGGGATGCGGTCGTCCTCACCTTTAGACAGGCATGGTTTGCCCAGGCCCCACCGCTTCAGAGGGAGATGGGAGGGTGAGCAGTTGCCTCCCACTCCTAAAAGGAAGGCCTTCCCTGGCGTCAGGATGGCTGCCTCTGGGTTCAGCTCCTTTCCCCACAGAGAGTGGAGAGCACTGAGAGCAGCTGGGAGCCTCTGTCTCTTCCGGATGACAGCTGAGCTGGGGTGAGGCTGCCTGCGCTAGGACAGTGTTGATTCCCAGGAGAATGACAGAACGGGCATTCAGCTTGGGGGTGGCTGGCCCTCACCTACCAAATGCCCCTCGGGCTTGCACTGGGACTTTCAGGGAGGAACTCGGCCATTGGGTGCCTGAGCCACCCTGGGGTTCCTACGGCCTCTCTGCAGAAATAGTCCCACCTGCCTGGGGCCACAGCTGCAAGCTCCGGGGTGCACTACTTCTTCCGTACCTGGAACCCGGACTCTTCCCTGCTGGCCCAAAGCGACCGTCTCCAGGATGGGTGAGCAGCCCCACTGCAAGGATGCAGGGCCCGGGGGCCCTTGGGTGCTCTCCTCAGGAGGTCAGCCCCTCCACCTGCCTCGCCTGCCCTGGGAGGGCCCGGGCCAGGCCCCAGTGGTCCATCTGTGCCCGCAGCAGTGCTCCTGTGCAAAAGAGCTGGGTCCTCCCCAGCATGCTCTCCTCGACCTCACCAACCTTCCTACTAAACTGAACAGGGGGGGCCGGTCGTAAAACGGGTCCCGGCCGTCGCACAGCTCGTGCTCCGGAAAGACGTCGTCCTCCAGGTCCTCCTCCTCCTCCTCCTCCTCCTCCTCCTCCTCCTCCTCCCCCACGCTCTGCTCCTCGGCAGGCTCGGTGGCGTCGGAGTCGGGGCTCGAGAAGGTGGGGGAGGGGGTGAGAGCAGCCATGCGCTCGCTCATGCATGTGTTCAGAAGAGGGTAGCTGTTGCAGCCAGAGATGGCTGAACTGAGGTTAGTGCGACAAGACAGAGAGAAGTTAACACCAGCGACTCGCAGGGACGAACAGGGGCTGGGGCCGGGGCTGGGGGGAACTTCTGTTTAAAACCAAAACCAAACACACAGACCATCGAGAATGCTGCTTTAAAAGACAAGAGAACCAAAACTGTGCCCCCAGTCTTGGAAAGAAATCACATGTATGGCCAGCAGGAAGGTTCCGGAAAGTTCCGGAGGACACCTGCAGGTGGGACTGAGAACAGGGGTTTCGGCTGGGAGTGGCTGAGGCCATATGAGGACCTCGAGAGTTTGGCCACTTTGAGGCCTCAGAATGCCACAGTCCCACGGGGTGAAGGGGGCTGGGTGCAGACCCCAGACTGGGAGACCAGGGAAGGAGGCAGTTGTCTCTAAGGCTTGGGTGACACAGCCCTGCCTCCATGTTCCCACCCTCTCCAGGTGACCAGGAGAGTTTGCTTGGGAGCCTCACATATTCACACACGGATAGTATGGGTTCTGGCGGCTACAGCCCTGTAGTGGATTTGGGTGGCAGTGCCAAGACCCCATCCCACGTCCCCTGAAATAATAGGTCCTGTGGTGTGTGGAGAGGAATGGCTGGGAGGAACCTCAGGCCAGGGAGGACAGGGCTGGAAGTCTGGGGCTGGAAAAGCACCTGTCAGGGCCGCTCCTTGTGTCAGGCCAGGGCCCACTCCTACCCCCACTGCCATCTCTCTCTCTCAGTCTCTCATTCTCTCTCTCTCTCTCTCTCTCTCTCAGTCTCTCTCTCTGCCAAGGAAGGGAGGAGGTGCCCACCTGCCCACCAGCCGGAACCAGGGGAAGCGGTCATAGAAGGGGTCTCCGCCGGTCACCACGTTGTCACAGTCCTCGATGACACTGGAGGGCACCTCTGCAGCGCGGTCGTACATCTCCCGCATCAGGTCCAGGCGCTGCCTGCAGGGACGGCAGGGGTCAATGTGGACCCAGGCCCAGCACTCAGTAGCTGGCACTACACACCCTTATCTCCTGAGGACAATGAACTCAGCCCAGCTCCAGCCACAACATCCAGCTCAGGGTCATCAAGGTTCAGGGGGCTTGCTAGACAGACCCCTCTGTGGCCCTTGGAGCTGGTCAGCCACAGGTAACACACTCAGCTAAGCATGCAAGGTCACCAACAGCTCCTCCCAAACTCCCACCAGGGGGTGGGCCGGGGAACCAGCAGTGGGGGCCTCGAGGTGCTGGCAGCACTGGGCTGCTGGAAAGTCGGCAGAGAGGCAAGAAGAGAAGCCAAGTGAAGCTCAGAAAGGGGGATCAGGCCACAGATGCCCAAGAGCTCAAGGAATAAAGGGCAAACTGGAGGTAGGGACACAGAAGACAGAGAAAATAGCCTAAAAATTATTATTATTGCGGGAGCACTCCCCTCAAATGTTGTGGAAGGAAAGAAAAGCAATCATTGTGCCCCTAGGTCTCAGGTATAAGAGAAACCACATCAACAGTGGCTGCCCGTCCTTCCAAAAGCCACGTAACCTGGGAGAACAGGGGAGAAGAATGAGGAGCGTGACTGTGGGAGTGTACGCTGCATATATGTGCACGTCTTCATGAATGCTTATTAGTGTGTGTGTGTTTGCATGAATGTGTATGTGTGCATGAGTACATTAATCATATTTTTATTTTCTGTACTTGTGATGTTTTGATATCCTTGGGGGGCACTGCAGGCTGGGGAGAGCTGCCCAGGTCCTGCTACTTCCTAGAGACAGTCAGCAACTTGCCATCACCCCTGCCTTTCCTACACAAACCAACCAGTCCCAAGTCTGTACCCCAGTCACCTCCCTTCTCTAACTTTTTCACACACCAGACCAATATTCCCCCTGGCCTAAATCACCCAGGGTCAGGTACCTGACAACTAGGGACAGCCCTATGCCCCAGAGCTCTGCAGAATTATTCAAACTAGCCAAGCCTAAGCAGTCTCCTTGCCCTGCCTGGCCTTTCCCACAACCCCAGGCTGTCGCCTGGGCCTTCTCCCACTCCTTTCTGCCTCCCGATGGGCCCTGGTGCCTCCCCATGTAGCCCTGCAGGGCGGGGCATGCCATGTTCTGCTTTCCAGGGGCCTGTGAGTGACATTCAACTCCTCCACTGTTGGTGCTGACCTCACAGGGTGACTCAGTCACCCCCATAACTTAAGGCCTGGCTGGGCGCAGTGGCTCACACCTATAATGCTAGTACTTTTGGAGGTCAAGGTGCAAGGATTGGTTGAGGCCAGGAGTTAGAGGTCAGCCTGCACAACAGAGCGAGACCTCATTTCTACCACAAAAAAAAAAAAAATCAAAAATTAGCTGGGTGCCGTGGTGCACTCCACACCTGTGGTCCCAGCTACTTGGGAGGCTGAGGTGGAACAATCACTTGTGCCCAGGAGTTCGAGCTGCAGCGAGCTGTGATCACACCACTGCACTCCAGCCTGAGCAATAGAGCAAGGCCCTGTCACTTAAAGAAAAAAAAAAATTAAGGCTCAAGACAAATCAGAGCATGTGGGGACAGCAGAGGCCAAGCTCTAGGAAGGACACGAGCTCACACTGGACACAAAGGGGCACAGCCCAGGCTTCCTCCTCGCCACCCCCACCTTAGCTCCTCCTCCACCTTCCACTGGGCTCAGCTAAGGCATCCACCTCCTGGCAGCTTCCTGAATGGAGGAGCAAGGGGACATTCCTTCCGCCCCCCACCACCTCTCCCAGCCCCTCTGGGGAGCCACCCTTCAGGCCCTGCTGTACCCGCTCTGGGTGCTCCGCCAGCCTGTTCTGTCGGTGCCACAGCCTGCCCTCCCCTCCACTGCACCATCCTGCCCCTGTGGGCCTAGGGAGCATTCCCCTTATCTGTCCTTTCCTCTGAAAGAAAACGCCCAAATCTATGTTTATGTACGATTGCTGCATTGGTAGTAAGAGAATGAGGATTCTACAAGGCTGGACTCTATCCACATTTTTCTTCTGATTTTAAAAGAATTGGAACAGGAGGAAAAGCGGTGTCTGCAGGTACTCGCCGCGAAGCCTGTGCCCACCACCGCTCCTGTGGCCTCAGCCCTGCCCAGGAGGACCCTCCCACCGTCCACCCAGCAGCCCTCCAGCCACACCTGAGCTTCTCCAGCGTCCAGTAGTGGGTGGCCCCGTTCTTCTGGTCCTGGACCTCCACGGCCACAATAGTGCGGGGGAAGGGCCGCGTCTCTCGGTCTTTGGCGGCCTCTGGGGGCAGCAGGTCGGGTGGCAGAGGGGAGTAGAGTGTATCCGTCAGGAGGACAAACTGGAATTGTACCTGTGATGGGGGAAGATGACCACTCATCAGCTCCTTGGGGGACAGGGCGCCAGGTCCCCAGAAAGGTTTCCTTCCCACCTTCTGGAGATTTCAGCTGCCTGCCCCACAGTGGTTCACTGGAACCTTCCAGACAGCCGCCAGAGGGGACCACCTGCTTTCTGCCTGTCCACCCGGCCTCCGTCTCCCGTGAGCAGGGCAGCCAATTCCCACCTGGCCAGTCCTGGGCTCCCTCACCGCCCACCCTTCTGGGGGGCCCAGGTCAGGCAGGGCTGCTACGCCACCCCCAGGGCTGGCAGACAGCCAAGCGCTGAGTCCCAAGCAGCTGTCCCCCTCATGAGTGAGGTGACGCACTCTCTCCAACAGGAAACGGTGCAGCCAGTGGGCAGCCCACCTTCTTTTTCAGCTCCACGCTGATGGCATTGGCCTCCTTGAGGAAGATGGCGTTGCCCCACAGCAGGTCCCGCAGAGACGTAAACTGGTACCACTTCCACTTCCGGAAGGCCCAGAGTGCCAGCTCACACTCCCGCTCCGTCCACTGGACTGTGGGGAGAGGTCACAGGTGGTCATCGCAGGAAGGCCACGACCCTGCCCACCATGTCCCGCCCTCTGGAAGGTCCGTCTGGTCAGCCACTCCACAGGACTGCCTAAGCTGGCCCTGTGCTCTGTGTACATCACAGCCGGGTGGTCATCAGGTAAAAAGATGGAAGGCCGGAAGGTTACTCCCCCTGTAGTCACTGAGGCCGGAGGTGAACGGGCCCCTCCCTCTCTCCCCAGGCTTCCTCCCACTCTGGGCCTGGGCTGGGAGAGCTCTGTGCTTGGCCCCGCCGTTTCACACTGACGATTTGGGTACACAGAAAGAAGAAACCGGCAGAGAGCTCTGTCACGGTGGGGAACATGCAAAGCTCTGCGTGCCCCAAAGGAGAGGCCGCCATCAGCAGCCTTGTGAGTCAGGCTGAAGATGAGAGTGGCTGAGGAGCAACACTGTCAATGACAGCCACATGCCATCCGGGGCCAGCGGTGGGGAGCAGGACCCACAGGAGAGGAGGCAGGAGGGCAAGCCAGGTCCTCCCAGGCGGTGCTGGCCCGTACACCCTCTCCCTGCCCATGCCCTGTCTGTCCACTGGGCCCTTGAGAGAACGACAAGCAGGGACACAAGGAGGGACTTGTCCTTGTGCTGAGGCCCCACCTCTCCTCCCAACACAGCACTACGTGCCTTTGGCTGCCCCCAATCGGGCGCGCCTGAGCTTTGCAGTGGGAGGGAGCCTCGCTGGGTAAATGAAGCCAAACAAGGGAAGAGGCCAAGGTCATGCCAGCACAAAGCTGCCGACCAGCTGGCCAGAGGCCGAGATGGGCACAAACCCCTCCCCACCTGCATGTGGGCCACCGCTGCCCACAGTTGCAGGAGGTCAGCCGGGTTGGCCCCCTGAGCGCATGCTCACTAAGGGAATCCTGAGGTGACGTGCACAGTGGACTCTTCCTCGGGGACCCCACGAGCCTTGTGGTCAGCAGGACGGGAAGAGTGGACGCCTATAAGCATGGTGAGCCCCTACCAGCCTCATTCCCCATTCCCCATCAACATCCAGACACTCCTGTCAGAGGCAACATGTGTGTGCACACGTGTGTACGTGTGTGCATGTGAATATGTGCCTGTGTGTACACACGCAAGTGTGTGAGTGTGCAGAGCTGCTTGCTAGCCGTGGCACAGTCTCCCTGCTCCCCAAATCCTGCTTTCACGGGGCTTCCAGGGCAAGGGGGTCTCCCCTAAAGAGACAGGTCCAGACCCCAGTGCAAAAGTGCTGACCAGTGACCTCCAGGGAGGGGCCCAGGGCTGCCCACCTCCATGCTGAGACCCTCCTGACACAGCAGGTGCTGGCCCAGTGACCCCTCACCTTCATCCTCGGGCTCCTCCTCCTCCTCGTTCACCTCCGGGTAGTACCTGGAGTCCATCTGCTTCTGCAGAGCCTCCAGCTTGCTCTCGTAGTCCTGCAGAAAGGAGGCCTGTGACTCCACCACGGCCCACCTGCCTGGCCTCTCGCACTGTTCACACCTGCCTG